TTTTTCCCTTTTTGTCACGGTATTTGAATAAAAAATTGGATCTGGATGTAGTTATGATGTACAAGATGGGCATATCAGGTGTTCTTAAGACAGTTTTATATGCATATTTGGATGCATTAGACTCACTGGATGGTCCCCCCATCCCTCATTTGCCGAGAGAATTTGTGATCTGTAAATTTGTCACAGTTCAAGTACTTTCATCATTATTTAGATATTTATTGGAGTAATGTTTCAGAAACTTAAGCTAAAATGGGGAACTTGTTGTCTCAAGTAATGCACTGTGTTTATACATAAAGGTTCGAGTATCAAAAAAATTGTCATAGTTTGCTTATATCTTCCATCTGAGATGGTGTGCAGTTTTAAATTTGTGATAGACTCTTTCCACCATCCAAAAGAATGCATTCAATTTTTTTTTTATCAGAAAATGGTTACATTCAGTTGCACATTCAATTAGGTTAAATTGGCCTATATAATCCCTTATGTGGGACCCATGCAATTATGGGCCGTTGGGTCCTCATCCACCATGACATGTGTGGATCATAGTTGTCAAGGCATCAAGGCACCCATGGAGGGTCACCTTGCTTAATCGCCAAGCAGATTTGTACATGGTGTTATGAAATGCTTTTACATTCTTAATTTTTTGGGATTATAATTATAAAATAAACATTTTTAAACTAAAATGTTCATTTTCTGTGTTTATATTACTAGTTTTTTTTTATCATTTTCTTATTTTTTAGGGTTTAATCAAGACATACTTTGCTAAATGATGTATTGAACCCTCAAAAACTTCAAAACCTGAACCAAGAAGTAGGGGAGAACCTAAAATTTTGTCTAATGATCTGATCAACACATTTTCTTCTTCTTCTTCTTCTTCTTCTTCTTCTTCTACTTCTTCGCTTTTGCTTTTCTTCTTTTCCTATAACAAAAATAGGGGCTCATCTCAACCCCTATATTTTCTGAATTTTCTCGTTTCTTTTTCTTCTCACAAATATGCTGATTTTGTATACTTTAACATGAGGTTTATGCTTTTCTTATGAAAATTATGGATAATTGTTAGGGAAATCCATCGCCTAGGCGATTACCCTAATATATATGATTTTGAACTTAAGGTTGTGGTTGTTTGCAATGCAAATAAATTTGCACTGATGCAAAACTATGACAGTACAAATGATTTGAGTGTAAATGTTGGCCTATTTTTGTTTCAAATTTTAGCTTATCTTGTTTGATTGTAGTACAAATGAAGTAAATAAGACATGAAGCAGAATAAAGTAAAACCCAAAACAAAATTAATTGAGAATTTGCATTTTTTTCATTTGCACTCCCATGCATTTGTACTAGTGCAAATAAAATTGCATTGCAACCAAACACAGCCTAAAGAAATCCRTCGCCTAGGTGACTAGGTGAAAAGGGTGCCCCCTTGTTGCCTAACCTCACCTAGGTGCCTTGAAAATTTTGGTGTGGATTGATGGTTAAGAGCTCAACTTAAAAGTCCATTTTAGTTTGAGCTTTTTGCAAAATTACTCTTTCATGAAATTATGATAATTGCTCAGTCAGTGAAGTGTCTTAGGTATTATGCTGTAAATCCTAATACGTGTCTTTTGTGGTGGTTTTAGAGGATTTGTTAATGGATTAGGAGTATCCAAGTTGTATACAGGATACAAGGAGATACAAGCATCAAACCAAGGCCAAAGCCAGACCGCAACCAAGAAGAGACTCGGTCCAAGCCACCCTTGCTCAGCACCATGATAGGCATTTTCCCCAAAACAAGCAAACAACTACCCCAAAGAAACAGCTTCCACCTATTTAGAACCGAATCTCCATGGAGTCACTAAATACCAAACCCTAACCAAAACTCTATAGCTAACTCTTTTTTTTTTCCCTTTTTTTACTCTTCAACATTAATCTTGACTCCCATGGTGCATATTGTTTGCTGATGACATTGATGACATTGTTTTAATTGATGAAACTAATAAATGATTAAATGTAAAATTAAGTTTATGAACAAATATCCTAGAAAGAAGGAATTTTAAAATAAGGAATAAAACATGATATATGATCTGTCACTTTAATAATAATGCATGCAAATGAGGACACTTAGGATTGGAGATCAACAGTCAAGAAACATGTCCAAAAAATGAGTGGCAAAATTGCATATGCAGAGATGGATGAGTTGAAAATCTAGAAAGAATAGGGTCAGAAATGAAGTCATTGAAAAGAACCTAGGAGTAGTTTAGCTTAAATAGGTACTAAAATGAGAGAAAGTAGATTAAGATGGTTTGAACATGTGCATAGAAGACCACCAACAACACCAGTGAGAAAAAGTGATATGTTGCAAGTTGAAGGGACTAGAAAGGGTAGGGGTAAGACCAAATAGGACATGGGTTGAAGTAGATGGAGAGAATTTAAGTTCCCATAATTTAACAATGATATGACATTGAATGGAACTGAATGCCAAAACAAGATTCATGTTACTGACACCATATTAGTTGGGATAAGGTTTGGGTGATGATGATGATCATTGGTCTTGATTCTATCATGCTTATTTTGATTGTGTTCTGGATGTTTGCATTATCTGTTTTTGGTATCCAACATCTTCACCTTTTCATTATGAAAATCTGGCCAAGAGCTTATTCTTCTTAAAGACGGTACCTCAAAACATTTCCCCCCTCCTAATGATCTGAGCTGTTGTGTAACTAATTACTTTGTAACGATTTGTGAACAAGCATTGCCTTCACAATGAATATAAATTCAGTCATGTCCAAGGCACTGTTTTGCATGTCTGAAGGCYCATCAATTTGGCAATTTGGCTTTTTTCCCTCCAAGTGTGAAACTACAGGTACTTGTTATCTGGGACAGATGTGTTAGACTAAGAGACATACAGAAAAGTGGTTTGTTGATGTTATTGGGGAGATCCTAGATGCATTCATTGGCTTGGTGCCTTGGTGATGCAGAGGATATTAGGTGAGCACATTATGTCTACATGTTCTTTTGCTTATCTTATTAATCATCATATGGTTAGAGTTTCCTCATTTTGAATTTTATTTTTCCAAAAGATAAATGTTGATTAATTAATTAGACTATTAGAAAAAACATCCAAGGCAAAAAAAAAAAAAAAAACAAACTAAAAGTTCTCTTTTTAGAAATGTATTCTTTAAAAAAGAAATGAGATTTCTATTCTTATCTGCATGGTAAAACAATTCTTTTCCTTTTGCAAGAAAGGAGAGAGAAAAGATGACGATGCCTTTTCTTAAATGAAAAAGGAAAATGCAAGAACAAGAAAAATAAGGTAAACCTTGTACCCAATCAACATAAACCAATCAATTGGTATTTGTAGAAAAAAAAAAAAAGATGAACCCTAGGTCCAAAATCTAAACGCGAGATGGAATGATGAGAAAGATGGAAAAACCCAGTAGTTAGAATTTAATGACAGCTTATCCACAGTCTTCAAGGTGCTAGGGCAACGCTAGGCGATAGGGGAGTGCCTTGTTGCCTAGTCACCTAAGTGATGGTTTTGTTAAAATAAAAAATATAAATTCTAGAGTAATTTCCTAGGACCTAGGTTTCATGGTAATAAGTAGTAATCTTTAACTAGAAATTGCCATAATTCTCATGAAATATGCATGAACCTTGTAGCCGAAGATAGAAAATCAACATATTTATTAGAAGAAAAATAAAAAAAAGGAAAAAAACATACAAAAAACATAAGGGCTGAGCCCTTATTTTGTCGTAGGAAGAAGAAGATGGTGATGAAGTCCTATTGATTTCAAGTTACTTCTTATCTATCAATTCAGGTTTTAACAGCTGAAGACGCTGAACTAGAAAGCTTATTGCTTTGTCCTTTAGCAACAAGTTTTTAAGGAGGTTGTGGATTCCTTAATGGCTGAAATTGAAATTGGATTTATCACTATACCCTTGAATGTTTTACTATTTATTTATTTTACCAACTAAAAGACAAAGCAATAAGTCTTTCAGTTTAGCAACTTCAGTTGTTATCAAATTGCCCCTATGTCACTGACTTGTGTGTTGATTGAACCTAAATAAGAAAATAATAAAAAAAACTAGTATAAGAATAATAATATTAGTACTATTAGCACTATAAACCCACGATATGAATAATTTAGTCTAATAATATCCTATTGTACTACTATCACTGACAACATAATATTATAAAAACATTATGTTGTGTCTTGCATATAAATATTTGGGTGTTTGGGCATGCCAGGCAGCCCTCCAAGTGTGTTTTATTGCCTAGGTGGTGTCACCTTGATAGCCGTGCTTATCCCTCATTTTCTCTCGTATCTTCATCTTTATTCAATTTTAATAAAATAATTTTGCTATTGTTCAAAAAAATAAAAACGTTAGAAGCAATGTTTGGTATACAAGGATTGACAATGTGCTATGCCTAATGCACTGCGTAAAAGAAACACAATTTTGAAATTGAAGTTGACAATATGCCAACTAGTAAGAAAAAAACATATTTATGTAGCAGTTAGCTAGTCAAATTTGGTGCCTTGTTCCTTAGGGGACCTTGCCTTTTCCTCTTCTGGGTAGGAAGTGATTGGATTAAGTGTTGAACCACGTTTGAACCTTTGAGGAGAAGCATGCTCCAAAAAATTTTCCTCGGAATTTGTGTAAGCACACAAGTGAAATTTCTTGTGAAAAATGCCAAAGGTTTAGGAGTTATGACAATATCCAGTCTAATACAAAAAAAAAAAAGACCATATCGAGTCTCTACCCCTCTCAAGACCCTTAGATGTTTGGGACCAACAATGGGTAATGGCCTTTAAGAAGTGAACACTTACAGTTACTGCTGTGTTTGTTCTTGCCTTCTTGGTGCTCATGCATGCCGTCTCATGTGCAAATGAAATGTGCTGTTTGTAAGTTGAACAATAAAGTTTTTCTAGCCGAGTCTTGAATACTGAATTGAGAAAYAAAATTAAGTTGATAATAATACTATGATTGAGCATAAGTGATTGTGTAACTGCTTCCAAAGTTAAAGAACAATACATCTATTTTTTTTCTACTATAATTTAGGCAGCAATGCTTTTGATGTTGCACAGTGATTGCACCAAAGGCTCATGTTCATGTGAATGAGTAGCAGAGAGACATACTGGAGCCATGAAAAATGATGGAGAGACTACAGAAGATATAGAGATACATAAATATCTGTATCTAATTTGTTGCTTCAATTGTGCTTTCCAGTTGTTTGTTTAATTAATTCTTTGAGGCTTTTATAATATATTTGGCAGATAATTAGTCTAATCCCCTGAATTTATCAACTTGTATTACTCCACTGAATGCAGACACAGCTTGAAATGGCAAAAGGTACCAGGGGCCGGTGCATTGCTTCCCGTCAATACAGGTCAACTCCATATCCATTACCATCTTACCATGAAGAGGTTATGGAGAAGGAAATCAACCAGAAAAAGTCCAATGCCTTGGAGAAGAATGACTGGGAGGATGCAACCTGTTCAGTGTGCATGGAGTATCCTCACAATGCTGTCCTCCTCCTTTGTTCCTCACATGACAAGGGATGTCATCCCTACATGTGTGGTACCGGTTATCGCTATTCCAACTGCCTTGACCAGTTTAAGAAAGCCTACACCAATGTGAAGTCACCCCTTCATGGGCAAACATGGCAAGGCTCAACGAACAATTCAACTGTTAGCTCAGGCTTTGGTTGGTCCAACGAGAAGTGTGAAGTAGTGGAACTCACATGCCCCCTCTGCCGGGGCCAGGTGAAGGGGTGGACAGTGGTCGAAGCTGCACGTGATTATCTTAATAACAAGAAGAGAAGCTGTATGCAGGATGACTGCTCATTCGTTGGAACATACAAAGAGCTCAGGAAACATGTCAAGGAAGAACACCCATCAGCAYGACCTCGAGAATTGGACCCCATACTTGAACAGAAATGGAGAAGGCTTGAACGTAAGAGAGAGCGTGATGATGTGATCAGCACACGCTTGAGGCAACTCGAGAAGGGCTTCCACCACACACTGGATGAAAATCTTCGTGGTGGAATTGGAATCCCTCGTCTTGCAGTTCCTACTGGTGGAAGTGGCACCACAGATGCTAATGATGATGAATCTTCTGTTGCCACCCGCCGAAGAAGACTGTTGGAATTGGCGAGGTCAGAGAGGAGGTTGAACTGAAGAAATAGGAGAACATTGATAGATGTGACATAAGAAGCTTTTAGGGGTAGGGGTAGACCTGTTCATGGGCCGAGTGGCCCGACGGGCCAGGCCGGGCCGGCCCGACGGGCCAGGCCGGGCCGGCCCGACCCCCAAACGGGCTTGAATAGGCTTTTTGGCCCGCGGGCTTAATCTCAGGCCAAAAAGCCTACCCCGCATAAAATTCAAGTCGGGCTCGGTCTTTGCCAAAATAGCCTGGCCCATGCTCGGCCCGACCTGGCCTATAGTTAAACTTAAGTAAACCCGGCCCGACCTATAGTTAAACCTAAGTAAAAACCCTATGTGATGTCCATTTGAATAAATTTTTTGATTTGAGAATGTTGTTGATTCACTTGTAGGCCCACTGTTCATTTAAATAGGGAAAAAAACATCTAAATTAAAATAGAAAATGTCCATTTGAATAGGGAAAAATTCGAATTTCTTTTATTAGGTCGGGCTTCGGGCTTTTTATCAGGGTCGGGCTGGGGCCCAAGTTATAGGCCCGTTGGTCGGGTCAGGCTCGAGCTCAGGCCTAACATTTTTCTGTTAATAAAGAGTCCAAGCCCGGCCCGAGCCCGGTTCGGCCCGACCCATGAACAGGTCTAGTAGGGGGTAAGAAAATTGTTTAGTGAAGATAGTATTCTACTTAGGGTGAGAATAGACCACAAGAATTTTAATTGGAATAAGCTTGCTTTATTCATGACAATAAGGGATTTAAATACAAACTAGGTAGCCAAAAATTATTCCAAATTAAATAATAACTACATGACTTATTCTTAAGCAAGCTTGTGGACATGATCAACAACTATCCCATAATCTTCTATGCTACGTGTCATGGTTCATGCAACGTGTAATGCACTTGCATGAAGTGCAAGTCTTATGCATGACAACTCTTAGTCAAAATGCTTTGGGTTCTTCATGGGCACTCTTTGGGATTTTCTTGGTTTATCAATACCCCCTCCTTTGGTTGGAACCTTGTCCTCAAAGTTCATATTTATGAACTTGTCTTTCATTTCTTGAGTGTTTTCCCATGTAGCATCATCTACTGGAAGTCTTTTCTATTTGATCAATCTTTCTTCGACAGTTTTTGACCCTTTTTTGACCCAATAGGTGTCTAAAATTCCCTCCGGTTCCATAATCAAATCACCATCTTCAGTCAGTGGAGGTAACTCAGTACTAGCAACAATTGTTTCACCCAATTTCTTCTTTAGAAGGGACACATGAAAGATCAGGTGAATGCGAGAACCTTGTGGTATCCCGCCTGTAATTAAGCATTCATAATGACCATTATTAGTACGAAAGGCAGTTTTATGAATGTCTGTGGGATGCACTCGTACTTGGTGGTATCCCACCCATAAGTCAAGTTTGGTGAAATAAGTAGCTCCATGGAGCTCATCAAGCATGTCATCAACTGTAGGAATTGGAAATCTATCTTTGATGGTTACAGCATTAAGTGCTCTATAGTTGGTGCAAAAACGCCATGAACCATCATTCTTCTTGACCAATAAAACAGGAGATGAAAAATGACTAGTGTTATATCTTATAAGCCCCAATTTTAACATGTCATGAACTTGTTTTTCAATTTCAGCTTTTTGAAAATAGTCATACTTGTATGGTCTAACATTAATGGGCTCGATTCCTTCTTTCAAATTGATGTGATGATCTATTTCTCTTGTAGGAGGGAGGTGCATCAGTTCTTGGAACAAGTCTTCAAATTTCCCCAATAATTGTTTCATTTCAGGATTGACATCCTATGACGTAAGATCGGCTGCGGGTTGAAGACAAATAGCAAACATGGAACTCCCTTGCCATATAAGAAAACATTGAAGACAAATAGTTCCATGTTTAAGGCCGGTCTACCCCCTGATCCACTCGCTGACCTGAAGCACCCCCTGTAGAGATGTATAGAGAAGACCCTGATATGATACATATCGAAAATTTGAACCTTGGTCTGAATTATTTTATTTTATTTTTTCAACTCATGGGAAAACCATGGTTTTAAAACAGTTGTTGGTCCGGGTGGACAAAGTGTTTGACTCTAATCACCAGTGGTTTCAAATTTAACCCACCATTAATCCAGTCAGTTGAATCATTTGAACCGTCATTCAGTGATAATTTTGGGTCTAATTCTCATAAAATCCAACTTATGGTAAAAAACTGTCCGATTTTATAATTGAACCATAACAATGCTCTCAAATGTTTGATTGGGTTAAATCATAAAGTGATCGATCAACTCAAAAACCAGTGGGCAAAGTGATTCAGTTTCTGAATTGGTTTTTAAAACATGTGGACAAACTGTCTCTTATAAATTGATAACTAGTCATTAGTCATTTTGGCCTCTAAGTAAATGCGATAACCAGGTGTGATACTTGGATCCTATATTTATGTATAGCACGCAATTAAAGAATGAGACTTTCTTATTTAGCTTTTTCTTTTATTTCTGTAAAAGGCTTTAATATTTAGTTTACAGTCTTTGATTTATAAATGTAAGACAATGTAGCGTAACGCCGTGAACCTTGGAATATGCTAAATGTGCAATTTGGAACATCTGTGATAGGGGGTAAAGTTTTTCGTATTTTCAAAGAAAAAGTGCAACCTTTCACCCTTTGATTTACTTGTTTGTGGTAATTCCATACCAGTATACATACATACGGAGGGAACTAAAAATCGGCATTCTCATCTTTATGCCTCGTTTTTGTTTATTAATCTATCAATTAATTATGTTTCTAGCACAAATATTTGAGGCAACAAGCAGAAACGTATACTTTTTGTAGGATAAATAAATAAATCAATTAACTGATAAGAATTCCCAAGTATAGAAATCAATTAAAATGCAGTTTCGAAAACCATTAAGGATTTGTTTGGTTCATGGCTGAAATTAGAATTGGAATTGGAATTGAAATCAAAATCTTTCAGTATCATAATTCATATTTTCTGTTTTAGTTCAAATAGCTAAGAATTGAAATAAGTTGGAATGGGATTTCATTTCTAAGTGAGGAAAGAGAATGACCATTCCACTAGGAATGAAAATGGGTTCCAATTCTGCCCAACCAAACAGTTGGAATCGGAATTACCCATTCCAATTCCGATTTCAGACACCTATTCCTGTGAACCAAACTGGCCCCAAGGATCTCAGAACTTCTTTAATAACTTATTCATTGAAAAACAAAGTAAAAGTTGTTCAGTTCAGTTCAGTCATTTCAGCTATTGTCAGGTTGCCCCTTAGTTTAGTTAATTCCAAGATCAAGCTATAAGCTATAGTTGGAATGCTTAGTGTCCAATACTTATGTAAAATTTAGTTACTCTTGCATGTATGGTCATAATGAGTCTTTGCACACATATAATGAAATACATTTCAGACACAGAATATATCATTCATTGCATGAAAATCTAGGTTTGTAGGACAATGTATACCCTCAGAGCGAAATATTGTTGTAGATTAGATTTATTATTGAATAAAATCAGTTTATGTATGTATCATTCATCGGATGTATTTGTATGTGTCATTGGTTGTGTTTCTGTGTTTTGACATTGATCTACATTTTAAGATTGTGATTATTTATTTGAGACATTCATAACTAGTATGTCATATAAATGTTTCCGATCAATGGGTTTTGGAAGTTTATTCAACTAAGGTTGGCACATTCATACTGCTTTGAACTAGTGGAAGAAGTACGGGACCTCGCATAGATCCGGACTGCAGCCTACCAGCAAAGAGTGGCTTGGTACTATAACGCCCGGGTCAAGAAGCGATACTTCCACAAGGTTCTCGCATTCACCCGATCTTTCATGTGTCCCTTCTAAATAAGAAATTGGGTGAAATAATTGCTGCTAGTACTATGTTACCTCCTTTGACTGAAGATGGTGATTTGATTATGGAACCTGAGGGAATTTTAGACACCTGTTGGGTCAAAAAAGGGTCCAAAATTATCGAAAGCTTGATCAAATGGAAAAGACTTCCAGTAGATGATGCTATGTGGGAAAACACTCAAGAAATAAAAGACAAGTTCATAAATATGAACCTTGAAGACAAGGTTCCAACCAAAGGAGGGGGTATTGATAAGCCAAGAAGATCCCAAAGAGTGCCCATGAAGAACCCAAAGTATTTTGACTAAGAGCTGTCATGCATAAGACTTGCACTTCATACAAGTGCATTACACGTTGCATGAACCATGACACGTAGCATAGAAGATTATGGGATAGTTGTTGATCATGTCCACAAGCTTGCTTAAGAATAGGTCAAGTAGTTATTATTTAATTTTGAATAATTTTTGGTTACCTAGTTGTCATTAGCCGTTAGCGTCCTATAGTTGTTAATTCCCATTTGTATTTAAATCCCTTATTGTCATGAATAAAGAAAGCTTATTCCAATTAAAATTATTGTGGTCTATTCTCACCCTAAGTAGAATACTATCTTCACTAAACAATTTTCTTACCCCCTACCCCTAAAAGCTTCTTATGTCACATCTATCACAGTTCTCCTGTTTCTTCGGTTCAACCTCCTCTCTGACCTCGCCAGTTCCATCACTCTTCTTCAGCGGGTGGCAACAGAAGATTCATCATCATTAGCATCTGTGGTGCCACTTCCACTAGTAGAAACTACAAGACGAGGGATTCCAGTTCCACCACGAAGATTTTCATCCAGTGTGCGGTGGAAGCCCCTCCAGAGTTGCCTCAAGCGTGTGCTGAAGCTGACACCATCTCCTGCTTGGCGACGTAAGAAAAGCACAACATTAAATAAGTTGCTATCATTAAAGTGCAACCCATAATTCCCATCATCATCCTCGTCAGCATCCATATCATCTGTATCAAAGCCATAGTGGTTGCCTTCTATCACGTAATCCCCTAGGACCATTGCTCTTGGAATCGATGACCTTATAGTGCTGATCACATCATCACGCTCTCTCTCACGTTCAAGCCTTCTCCATTTCTGTTCAAGTATGGGGTCCAATTCTCGAGGTCGTGCTGATGGGTGTTCTGCCCTGACATGTTTCCTGAGCTCTTTGTATGTTCCAATGAATGAGCAGTCATCCTGCATACAACTTCTCTTCTTGTTATTAAGACAATCGCGTGCAGCTTCGACCACTGTCCACCCCTTCACCTGGCCCCGGTAGAGGGGGCATGTGAGTTCCACTACTTCACACTTCTCATTGGGCCAACTAGAGCCTGAGCTAATAGTTGAATTGTTCGCTGAGCCTTGCCATGTTTGCCCATGAAGGAATGACTTCACTTTGGTGTAGGCTTTCTTGAACTGGTCAAGGCAGTTGGAATAGCGATAACTGGTACCACACATGTAGGGACGACATCCCTTGTCATGTGAGGAATAGAGGAGGAGGACAGCATTGTGAGGATACTCCAAGCACACTGAACAGGTTGCATCCTCCCAGTCATTCTTCTCCAAGGAATTGGAATTTTTTTGGTTGATTTCCTTCTCCATAACCTTTCCATGGCAAGATGGTAATGGATATGGAGTTGACCTGTATTGACGGGAAGCAATGCACCGGCCCCTGGTACCTTTTGCCATTTCAAGTTGTGTCTGCATTCAGTGGAGTAATAAAAGTTGATAAATTCGGGGGATTGGACTAATTATCTGCCAAATATATTATAAAAGCCTTAAGAATTAATTAAACAAACATCTGGAAAGCACATTTGAAGCATCAAATTAGATACAGATAATTATGTATCTCTATATCTTCTGTAGTCTCTCCATCATTTTTCTTGGCTTCAATATGTCTCTCTGCTACTCATTCACAAGGACATGAGCCTTTGGTGCAGTTACTGTGCAACATCAAAAGCATTGCTACCTAATTTATAGTAGAAAAAAATAGATGTACTGTTCTTTAACTTTGGAAGCAGTTACACAATCACTTATGCTCAATCATAGTATTATTATCAATTTAATTTTGTTTCTCAATTCAGTATTTAAGACTCAGCTAGAAAAACTTTATTGTTCAACTTACAAACAACACATTTCATTTGCACATGAGACGGCATGCATGAGCACCAAGAAGGCAAGAACACACACAGCAGTAACTGTAAGTGTTCACTTCTTAAAGGCCATTACCCATTGTTGGTCCCAACCATCTAAGGGTCTTGAGAGGGGTAGAGACTGAATATGGTATTTTTTTTGTATTAGACTGGATATTGTCAAAACTCCTAAACCTTTGGCATTTTTCACACGAAATTTCACTTGTGCTTACACAAATTCCGAGGAAAATTTTTTGGAGCATGCTTCTCCTCAAAGGTTCAAACGTGGTTCAACACTTAATCCAGTCACTTCCTACCCAGAAGAGGGAAAGGCAAGGTCACCTAAGGAACAAGGCACCAAATTTGACTAGCTAACTGCTACATAAATATGTTTTTTTCTTACTAGTTTGCATATTGTCAACTTAACTTTCAAAGTTGTGTTTCTTTTACGCAGTGCATTACGCATAGCACATTGTCAATCCTTGTATACCAAACATTGCTTCTAACGTTTTTATTTTTTTGAACAATAGCAAAATTATTTTATTAAAATTGAATAAAGATGAAGATACGAGAGAAAATGAGGGATAACCACAGCTGTCAAGGTGGCACCACCTAGGCAATAAAATGCACTTGGAGGGCTGCTTGGCATGCCCAAACACCCAAATATTTATATGCAAGACACAACATAATGTTTTTATAATTTTATGTTGTCAGTGATAGTAGTACAATAGGATATTATTAGACTAAATTATTCATATCGTGGGTTTATAGTACTAATAGTACTAATATTATTATTCTTATACTAGTTTTTTTTTTTTATTATTTTCTTATTTAGGTTCAATCAACACACAAGTTAGTGACATAGGGGCCATTTGATAACAACTGAAGTTGCTAAACTGAAAGACTTATTGCTTTGTCTTTTAGTTGGTAAAATAAATAAATAGTAAAACATTCAAGGGTATAGTGATAAATCCAATTTCAATTTCAGCCATTAAGGAATCCACAACCTCCTTAAAATCTTGTTGCTAAAGGACAAAGCAATAAGCTTTTCAGTT